AAGGCCGAAGCTATGTTCATTTCAATCCTCCTATTTAAAATTAATAGTAGTTCTCAGCAGAAGATTCGGTCTTGAAGTGCACTAAGGAAGTATATTCGATCATTGCACTTAGAGGAAAAAATGTTGATATAGCTGCTTTATTCTATCAGAATACAAGCGGAAAAATATTCCATTACAGTATTCTAAACTAAAACTATCGAAAACACAAAGTGAGTCTCGTACGAGTAGCGATTCGAACATATAAACTTAGCTATGCATAAACTATAAAAACCAAATCCACGGTTCTGTGTCTATATTCTGTACAACGACTGACGTTGTGCAATCGACTCGATGTTACTAGTAGTAATTTTTTCCTCGTATGTTTTTTGTGTTCTGTTTTTCAGCAAAAAATGTTCAGCGTGAAAAATTATATATTCTAATATTTTGTTAACGACTACATTTTAAAGTTGCGGAACTATTTCAAATGCAATTCAAAGGAATATGTGAAATTAAGTATCTTTTGATTTCACTTAAAAATATTTCTGCAACATAAATTTTTTACTTTTAAAACACTATTTTTATTATAATAAATGTTATCTATTTGAGAAAAGAAAAGGACATAGAAGAAATCAAGACATTGGTCTCATTATATGTTCAGAAGGTACTTTTATAAAATGCTAAGAATTCTCAGAATAATACTGCTACTGTGTAATAAACAAAAAAAGAAAAAGTATGAGAAAACCGAAGAAAAAATTCGAAAGACGTATCTGACCAAATGACAAAACAAACACTTTTAGCAGAGTATACTACTATGTAGAACCATTTGATCCAAAAGTTACCACACAAAGGAACAGAAACAAAGGAGAAAAGCACAAGATTTGATCAAATGTGATTTTGCAAGTGTATATTAGATTTACTGATAAAAAGGAATTTTATTTAATTTTAAAAACGAGCTGTTTTCTTGATATAGAGACAAACTGCTTCGTATATGTTTTAAAAATTGTTTTTATTAAGGGATGATCGCAAAAGAAGTGTATTTTTGTTGAACGGAATATTTGATATCCGAAGTTGGGTGCTAAAACATTCCTGTAGAGCGTGTAATTGGGACATTCGAAAAAGAAATGATTAGTGTCTTCGTCTACAGTTATCGAAGGTGATAGTGACAAGCAGTGGGGACAGTAAGGAAACGGAACGCACTTCCTTTGATGAAGGCAAAAGTTTAAAGCAGGAAAATCTACTGTGAGACGACAAAAAATAGCTTCCATGCGTCGAGTTAGCGATATTTTTCCGTAATTGGTAATCAAACTAGTTTTTAAATCTTTCCTGAACATTGTTGACTTTATCTTGAGGCATAGTAAGGGTGACTTTACCATTAGCTCATTCCATATTCATATCATAGTTGGAAAAAGAAAGGTTTGAAAAGTCGAACTTTTACTGCTATAATTATATATTTCGTTTCTGATGTTCCTACAAAGATGATGATGAAGATTATGCTGCATGAACAACTCTATTTTAAAATGCTTTTCAGTGAGGTCTGCTGTTAAGGAACTTTTTTACGAGATTCCAGTTGAGAAATTAAAAAAAATTGGTAAAATTTAGTTTTAAGCGCTATAAAATATATGTAATTTACATACACTAGAAACAAATTATCCTGATATTATCTTAACTCGGCTGACTTGAAAATACGTACACAGTGCGTTTTGAAGGCACATTAGATTCCATTTCTTATCTTTTTTTGTTAGTCTCCTTAATTTCCACAAAAAAAAACACCTCTAAGCCGCTGCTTTTTTTGAAAATGCATTTGATAGGCATCACTAATACACAATGTACTAGCTGCGATCAAGACACCTAGCCGTCCAATAGCCACGGATAAATGATGTAGTCATATTGAGGGCAACGGAAACGTATCGAGACTGTTGCTGCATACAAAATTATCCTGGAACCTAGTCAACACATCTCTAGCAAGAGAAATAGAAAGATAAGTTTTTTCAGAAAGTGCCGCATCTACATTGTTGTTGGCCACTATAGTGACTATCATACTCTTGAACAGATGATTTCTAATCTGTTGTTTGTTTCTTTACTTATGTTAGATTCTTTCAAATTAAACATATGAATTAGTCAAAGAACTTGGACAGAAATCAGTAGATTTCCTGTACTCCTAAAATATTTTAAAATGAAAGCATCCTTTTAGTAAATAACTACTTCGATGTTGATATGTTGAGATCTTTTCTCTTTTGATGATAAAAAATATATGAAATGTTCGGTCGTCATAAAGAAAACGCTCTAATACTGTTCAATACACAAGGTTTAAATCAATATATCCAAACAAGATTTGGTTGCATTTAGCTAGGTTAAGTATTTCCTAATCTCATTTCAACTTTGTTTCTTTGCAAAAATATATTTATTAATTTAAGATAATATATTTTTTAATAGATCTCGAAAGTAGAAAGTAAGTAATTACACAAATGTGAATTTTGCTGTCGTATCCAGCATCTTTCAAATTAATACGATATAAACACTAAAACCCTTTTTTGAGTTGAAATGAAATTAGAAAATACTAAATCTAGCTAAATGCAACCAAATCTTGTTTGGATATATTGATTTAAACCTTGTGTATTGAACAGTATTATGACGTTTTCTTTATGACGATCGAGCATTTCATATATTTTTTATCATCAAAAGAGAAAAGATCTCAACATACCAACATCGAAGTAGTTATTTACTAAAAGGATGCTTTCATTTCAGAGTATGTTTGGAGTGCAGGAAATCTGATGATTTCCGAGCAAGTGCTGTATAAAGAACCGAAAACCGAAGTGAAAACAGTGCATTATTTCATTGTGGCTGTTGAACAGATCATCAAACTTTGTATGACTTCTGGAATCTTATTTGAAAAATTCATGAGTTCGATGAAATTTCTTGTAAACACGTAAAAATATCACAGTATGCGTATTTTTACGTGCAAATTAATGTCTGCCTTAGTACAGCGCACTTTATTTAAGGAGATTTCAGTCTAAATAAAGCTTTCCAAAAATGCCATTTTAAAGTGAGAAAAAACCAAAAAATAGCTGAATATGAAATTCATCGACTGAAAGCGTGCGAGAGTATATTTTTACTTATTTATTATTTATATAAATATGATTTATATTTTTTCCAAAACCTAGAGTTTCGTAAATTGCTTCTTTAAAATTTTCTGACTCAGTAAGAATGCAGGGCAAACATTTCTCTAAAAAATGAGAGGTTGGACAGCTCTGTTCGGCATGTTTAAAATTTCGACAGCGATACCTCTAGAACACATAATCGAGTAGTAAACGAGTATCGAGTACTCGATTAGTCCCTTATAGAGACATCGCTATTAAAATCTCAAAGCAAATCGTACAGAGTTGTCCAACCTCTCATGTTTTAGAGAAATGTCTGCTCTACATTCTTACTGAGTCAGAAAATTTTTACGTACAAAGCAATTTTCGAAACCAGGCGTTTCGAAAAAAATATAAAATCCTTAGTCGATTACTAGTTGCATGCCTACTTTTGAACCGGCCGATCCACGTCGTTCTATTTTTAAAAATTCGTTTAATCTGAAGTGTTAGCCTATTACACTATTGTATCTGATGGAATCTTCCTGTTATAATATATCGCTAGTAGACCGCTGCTCCTTTAAATTCTGACGCAGACTGGCACCGATTAGAATCAAACAATATACCGATAGTTTCTTTTTGACAGTTTCTAGTCGTATAAAAACTAAAAGATTGAAGAATATTATGACAAAAATTAATTTCTGCATTTTGAAAACACAGCTTATTATTGCACTCCATAAATCTGCATCCTTTTCTTTGAAAAGAAATACTTTTTTTCCCAATAGATGATGTCGTTAAAAAAATAATACTTCGTTTTACCCCAAAATTCATTGAGGAAAATATCCACTTTTCACCACTTGTTTGCTCATTAAAAAAATATTTACAGTTGTTTTCATTTTGCTCGTTTTGAGAAACTACATTTTTAACACTGTTGATGATCACTCATTAAAAGAAGAAAAATAGAATAAACTTAAAGACGTAAAGTGCTTATTAAAAATTAAGAAAAAAAGGAAAGAGAAATACAAAACAATTTTCCACTAATGCACTAAAGTATCTCATTATAGATTTTCTAATGAATTGAACAGTGTCGCATGTTGACTACAGAGAAAAGACCAACTCATTGTTACGATTTCTCTGTGAGTCACGCAATCTTAGTGCATATTTTTAATGCGCAATACTATCACTCAATCCGATATTTCTAGACTTCGATTCTGATTCCTATTTTATTAACTTTATCCTTCTCTTATTAAGGTGAATGTGGAAGGGTCAACCAGGTAAATTTTTATTGTAAGTATAACCGCTTTCGCCCGTCGTAATTCTGTACTTCCTCTAGCAGGCGTATAACACCACACAGAAAATATGTTTATATTACCCTTGGTGCCGTGTCTACTACAATCGTTGCTGCCACAGTTCTTGCCACGATTCTTGCAGTTAAATACAGTAATACAAATCAAACTACATTTAATTCTAACATCTTCCAACAAACTTTTCTCTTTTAAAGAAACACCCGCCACTACTACTCAGCAATCAACATCGACCGGTAAAAATATTTCTTACATTCAAACAACATCCACTGAACATTTACTAATTTAAGGACCGAACACCGTTAATACGAATAATCCAACCGTAGCATCAAGCAGTATCACACCAAACGCTCAACCATTCCAAACTACTCCACAATCTACCGTCTCACTAACAACAACGTTTAGCCAAAGCCAACAGACATCCTCTATTGGCCAAGCGACACAAATAAACAACATTTCACCCTCGTACACATCCATCAGCGCTTCAGCAATCTCTTTACCAGCCACAATCTCATTTCAAACAAATCCATCCATTACCACCTCCACAATTACTTCTACAGTCACCCCAACCAACGACTTAACTCACACCACATCAGTCAGCAGTTCAAATCCAACCGTCATAATTTCCAGTCAAGCATATTCTTCGATGAATACCGCTACGACCGCCTCAACCGCAACGCTCTCAGCTCAACCCACATCACTGAGTAGCTTCACGACCGGTTCAACCGCCACTGTGTCACTTCAGCACTCATCAATGTCCACTTCCATAACGGGCTCAACAGCCACAATGTCATCTCAACCAACATCAATGAACAGTTCTGTGACGGCTTCATCAGCAACAATCTCAGCTCAATCCACATCAGTGACCATTTCTGTGACCGGTCCAACCGTCACAGCATCACCGCAGCATACATCAATCAGTAGTACAACGATCGGTTCAACAGGAACAATGTCACCACAAACAACATCTATGAGCAGTTCTATTACCGGTTCAAGTACAACAATGTCGCCGCAACAAACATCGGCCGGCAGTTCGATGATGGCTTCAACAGCAACAATGTCACTTCAGCCAACATCAATGGGCAGTTCAATGATCAGTTCTACCGAGACAATGTCATCACAATCAGCATCAATCAGCAGTTCAATTATGCCTTTACCAGCAACAATGCCGCCACAACAAACATCAACGAGCAGTTCAATAATGGCTTCCACACCAACAACGTCACCGCAACAAACATCGATGAGCACTTCTATGTCGGGTTCCACCACCACAATGTCACTTCAACCAACAGCAGTCAGCAGCTCTATGACTGTATCCACAACAACAATGTCACCGCAACAAACATCGGTGAGCAGTTCAGTGATAAGTTCTGCCGGCACAATGTCAACTCAACCAACATCCATGAGCACTTCAGCAATGGGATCCACAGCAATAATGTCGCCTCCACCAACAACAGTGAGTAGTTCAATGACCGGTTCAACAGGGTCAATGCCATCACAGGCAACATCCGTGACCAGTCCTAACACAGCTTCCACAGCAGCACCGTCGCTTCAACGAACATCAATGAGTAGCTCAATGACGGCACCAACAATAACAATGTCACTCCAGTCCACAACAACGAGCAGTTCTGCAACCGGTTCGGCGCCAACAGTATCTGCTCAACAAACATCAACGCCACAAACTTCAGTAAGCAGCTTAATAACACCGTCATCAGCAGCAATGTCATGGGTACTAAATTCAGTGAGCAGTTCAGGAATGCCTTCGTCAGCCACAATGTCATCGGTACAAAGTTCCATGACGAACACAGGAAATCCGTCAGCAATCACAATGTCACCGCCACAAACTTCAGCGACTAGTTCAATAATGCCCGCTTCATCTACAATATCATCGCAGCAAACTACCGTGACAGGCTCAGTAATACCGTCAACGACCACTATGTCACTCCCACAAACCTCAGTGAGCAGTTCAGGAATGCCTTCATTAGTCACACTGTCATCGCCACAAATTTCAGTGAGCACTTCAGTAATGATCGCTCAAACCACGATGTCGCCACTCCAGAGTTCAGCGAGTAGTTCAATCACGCCTTCGTCAGCCACAATGTCATCGCCACCAACTTCCATGAGCAGTTCAATAATGCCCGCTTCACCCACAGGGGCAGCACCACAAAGTTCAGTTAGCAGTTCACTGCTGCCATCATCGACCACAATGTCAACGCTACAAAGTTCTCCCGGCGTTTCTATACTGTGGACATCAGCAACACCGGCACAAACCTCAGTGAGCAGTTCAATTATGCCTTCGTCAGCAACAATATCTCCACAACAAAGTTCAACGGCAGCCTCCACAATGCCTGCATCAGCAACAGTGTCAACGGTACAAAGTTCAGTGAGTAACTCAGTAATGTCGTCCTCAGTCACAATGTCATCGGTACAAAGTTCAATGACGAACACAGGAAATCCGTCAGCAACCACACTATCATCGCAACAAATTTCAGTGAGCAGTTCAATAATGCCCGCTTCATCTACAATATCATCGCAACAAACTACCGTGACAGGTTCAATAATGCCGTCAACAACCACAATGTCACTCCCACAAACTTCAGTGAGTAGTTCAGGAATGCCTTCATCAGCCACAATGTCATCGGTACAAAGTTCAATGACGAACACAGGAAATCCGTCAGCAACCACAATTTCACTCCCACAAACTTCAGTGAGCAGTTTAGGAATGCCTTCATCAGCCACAATCTCATCGGTACAAAGTTCCATGACGAACACGGGAAATCCGTCAGCAACCACAATGTCACCGCCACAAACTTCAGCGACTAGTTCAATAATGCCCGCTTCATCTACAATATCACCGCAACAAACTACCGTGACAGGTTCAATAATGCCGTCAACAACCACAATGTCACTCCCACAAACTTCAGTGAGCAGTTCAGGAATGCCTTCATCAGCCACAATGTCATCCGTACAAAGTTCAATGACGAACACAGGAAATCCGTCAGCAACCACAATTTCACTCCCACAAACTTCAGTGAGCAGTTCAGGAATGCCTTCATCAGCCACAATGTCATCGGTACAAAGTTCAATGACGAACACGGGAAATCCGTCAGCAACCACAATGTCACCACCACAAACTGCAGCGACTAGTTCAATAATGCCCGCTTCATCTACAATATCACCGCAACAAACTACCGTGACAGGTTCAATAATGCCGTCAACAACCACAATGTCACTCCCACAAACTTCAGTGAGTAGTTCAGGAATGCCTTCATCAGCCACAATGTCATCGGTACAAAGTTCAATGACGAACACAGGAAATCCGTCAGCAACCACAATTTCACTCCCACAAACTTCAGTGAGCAGTTCAGGAATGCCTTCATTAGCCACACTATCATCGCAACAAATTTCAGTGAGCAGTTCAATAATGCCCGCTTCATCTACAATATCATCGCAACAAACTACCGTGACGGGTTCAATAATGCCGTCAACGACCAATATGTCAGTCCCACAGACTTCAGTGAGCAGTTCAGGAATGCCTTCATCAGCCACAATGTCATCGGTACAAAGTTCCATGACGAACACGGGAAATCCGTCAGCAACCACAGTGTCACCGCCACAAACTTCAGCGACTAGTTCAATAATACCCGCGTTATCTACAATATCATGGCAACAAACTTCCGTGACGGGTTTAGTGATGCCGTCAACAACCACTATGTGGACGGCACCTCCACAAACTTCAGTGAGTACTTCAGGAATGCCTTCATTAGCCACACTGTCATCGCCACAAATTTCAGTGAGCACTTCAATCATGCTTTCGTCAGTACAAAGTTCAGTGAGCACTTCAGTAATGATCGCTCAAACCACGATGTCGCCACTCCAGAGTTCAGCGAGTAGTTCAATCACGCCTTCGTCAGCCACAATGTCATCGCCACCAACTTCAATGAGCAGTTCAATAGTGCCCGCTTCACCCACCGGGGTGGCGCCACAAAGTTCAGTTAGCAGTTCGATGTTGCCATCATCGACCACAATGTCAACGCTACAAAGTTCTCCCGGCGTTTCTATACTGTGGACATCAGTAACACCGGCACAAACCTCAGTGAGCAGTTCAATTATGCCATCGTCAGCAGCAATATCTCCACAACAAAGTTCAACGGAAACCTCAACAATGCCTGCATCAGCAATAGTGTCAATGGTACAAAGTTCAGCGAGCAACTCAGTAATGCCACCATCAGCCACAATGTCGCCCATTCAAAGTTCAGCGAGCACTTCAATCATGCCTTCGTCAGTACAAAGTTCAGTGAGCACTTTCGTAATGCCGCCATCGACCACAATGTCACTGAGCAGCTCAGGAATGTCTTCATTAGCCACACTGTTACCCCCTCAAACTTCAGCAACCAGTTCAATAATACCCGCTTTATCTACAATATCATCGCAACAAACTTCCGTGACGGGTTTAGTAATGCCGTCAACAACCACTATGTTGACGGCACCTCCACAAACTTCAGTGAGTAGTTCAGGAATGCCTTCATTAGCCACACTGTCATCGGCACAAAGTTCAGTGAGCACTTCAATCATGCTTTCGTCAGTACAAAGTTCAGTGAGCACTTCAGTAATGATCGCTCAAACCACGATGTCGCCACTCCAGAGTTCAGCGAGTAGTTCAATCACGCCTTCGTCAGCCACAATGTCATCGCCACCAACTTCAGTGAGCAGTTCAATAATGCCCGCTTCAGCCACGTTAGCGCTGCTCCAAAGTGCAGCGAGTAGTTCAAGCATGTCTTCATCAGCGATAATGTCAGCGCCATCAACTTCAGTGAGCAGTTCGACAATGCCGGCTTTATCCACCGTGGCAGCGCCACAAAGTTCTGTGATGGCGTCATCAGCACCAGCGTCATCGGTACAGAGTTTAGTGAGCAGTTCGGTAATGCCCGTTTCAGCCACAATGGCGGCGCTCCAAAATTCAGTGAGCAGTTCAATTATGCTGTCATCAGCCGGAATGTCACCGCTACAAAGTTCGGTGGGCAGTTCAGCGGGGCCTTCCTTGCCAACGCTACAGGCTTCAGCGACGACTACTGTTACGCCTTCATCACTCACACTATCACCCCTACCAAATTCAGCTAGCAGTTCAGTAATACCTTCACCAGCCACCATGTCGCCACTCCAAACATCCGTGAGCAATTCAGGAATATCGTCAGAAACTTCAGTGGTCGGTTCAGTAATGCCTTCTTCATCAACCATAGCACCGGTACAATCTTCAGTGAGCAGCCCCGCAATGCTTTCGTCAGTAATAAATTCAGCGACACAAAGTTCATCGAGTAATTCCATAATGTCTGCATCAGCAGCAATGTCTCCACAACAAAGTTCAATGGGTAGTTCAACAATGCCTGCATCAGCAACAATGTCATCGCCACAAACTTCAGTGAGCAGTTCCGTAACGTCTTCATCTGCCCCAATATCACCGGTACAAAGTTCAGCGAACAGTCCAGTAATGTCTTCATCAGCCACAATGTCATCGCCGCAAAGTTCATTGAGCAGTTCCATAATGCCCTCTTCAACCGCAATGTCACCGACAGCAACTACAGTGGTCGGTTCAGTAATGCCCTCTGCAGCAACAGTACCACCCCTGCAAACTTCAGTGAGCAGCCCCATAATCCTTTCGTCAGCAACAGTTTCACCGGCACAAAGTTCAGCCAATAGTTCAATACTGCCTTCATCAGCTACAATCTCATCGCCAGAAACTCCAGTGAACAGTTCAATAATGCCCGCGTCATCTGCAATGTCGCCGCCACAAAGTTCGGTGACCTCAATGGGTAGCTCAACAATGCCTGCATCAGCAACTATGTCATCGGTTCAAAGTTTAGCGAGCAATTCAGTACCGTCTTCATCTGTCCCAATATCATCCCAGCAAAGTTCAGCGAGCAGTTCAATGCTGTCTTGGTCAACCACGACGTCATCGCCACTAACTTCAGTGAGCAGTTCCGTAATGTCGGCGTCATCTGGAATGTTACCGCCACAAAGCTCGGTGACCAGTTCGCTAATGCCCACCGTAACTGCACTGTCATCGTCGCAAAGTTCAGTGTCCGCTTCAGTTATGTCCTCTTCATCAACAATAGCATCGCTACAAACTTCAGTGAGCGACCCCGTAATGCTTTCGTCAGCAACAATTTCGCCGACACAAAGTTCAATGAGCAATTCCATAATGTCTTCATTAGCAGCAATGTCTCCCCCACAAAGTTCAATGGGTAGCTCAACAGTGCCTGCATCGGCAACGATGTCATCGATTCAAAGTTTAGCGAGCAATTCATTAACGTCTTCATCTGCCGCAATATCACCCCAACAAAGTTCAGCGAGCAGTTCAATGTTGCCTTGGTCAACCACGATGTCATCGCCACAAACGTCAGTGAGCAGTTCAGTAATGCCCGCGTCATCTGCAATGTCACCGCCACAAAGTTCTGTGACCAGTTCGCTAATGCCCTCCGTAACTGCACTGTCATCGTCACAAAGTTCAGTGGCCGCTTTAGTTATGTCTTCTTCATCAGCAATAGCACCGCTACAAACTTCAGTGAGCGACCCCGTAATGCTTTCGTCAGCAATAATTTCACCGACACAAAGTTCAATGAGTAATTCCATCATGTATTCATCCGCAGCAGCGTCCCCTCAGCAAAGTTCAGTGGGTAGCTCAACAACGTCATCGGTTCAAAGTACAGTGAGCAGTTCAGTGCTGGCTTCAACTACCACAATGTCACCACTACAAGGTTCAGCGGCCAGTACACTAATGTCATCGCCGCAAAGTTCAGTCAGTAGTTCACTACTGCCCTCCTTAGCCACAATGTCACCGTCACAAACTTCAGTGGTCGCTTCAGTTATGTCCTCTTCATTAACAACAGCACCGCTACAAACTTCAGTGAGCGGCCCCGTAATGCTTTCGTCAGCAACAATTTCGCCGACACAAAGTTCAATGAGCAATTCCATAATGTCTTCATTAGCAGCAATGTCTCCCCAACAAAGTTCAATGGGTAGCTCAGCAATGCTTGCATCAGCAACGATGTCATCGGTTCAAAGTTTAGCGAGCAATTCATTAACGTCTTCATCTGCCCCAATATCACCGCTACAAAGTTCATTGAGTAGTTCAATGCTGCCTTCGTCAACCACGATGTTATCGCCACAAAGTTCAGTGAGCAGTGCAGTAATGCCTTCATCAGAAACAATGTCACCGCAGCAAAGTTTGGTTAGCAGTTCTACGTTTGGATCGACTGCGGCGATGTCACTGCAATCCACATCAATGAGTGGTTCTATGATGGGTTCAACGGGAACAATGGCAGCTGTGGTCGTGTCGGTAAGCACTTCAGTAATTTCTCCATCCGCAACAGTGGCAGTGCAGCAAACTTCGATGAGTAGTTCTACGATGGATTCTTCGGCGACGATGTCGCCTCATCTTGGGTCAGGCGGTAGTTCAATGATGGGTTCAACGATTGGAATTACATTTCAGGCAAGCTCAACGATCGGCGGTGTGATTGCGTCTATGGCATCACTATCACTTCCGGTTTCCACGTCAACAATGTCGCCGCAACAAGCATGGGTCAGTAGTTCAACGATGGGTTTAGCGGCAACAATGTCAGTTCAACAAACGTCAATGAGCAGTCCAATGGCTTCATCAGCAATAATATCACTAGAACAGACATCATTAAGTAATTTACTCATGGGTTCAACGACAATAGGATCACCGCAACAAACGTCAATGAATAGTTCAGTGATTGGTTCAACAGTAATAATGTCATCTCAACCAACGTCACTGAGCAGTTTTATGACCCCAGCCTTGTCTGGCTCCACGATGTCGGCTCAACCTACATTACTGAATATTTCTATGATGGGTCCGACAGCAACTATGTCATCGGAACCAACAACATTGAACAGTTCAATCGTGGGTTCAACAGTCCAGTTTTCTTCTCAAGCAGCGACGTCGTTTTCTGGTTTGATGATGAGTTCAACAGCAGCACCACAAACATACTCCTCTGCGACCAATCCAATGTTTAGTTCAACTGTCACCGTACCAAGTCAAACATATTTTTGGATGAGCAGTCCAATGCTCCTTTCCACAGTTACAATGTTATCTGAAGCGAACTCTTCGATGGGCGGCTCAGTCATTAGTTCAACGGTCACAATGCCGGCTCAGTCGTATTCATCGTTCGGAACTTCGGTGATTAGTCCGACGGTGACGGGGGTGTCCGGCAGCAATTTGTGGTCGCCCGTGAGTGTGGAGGACGTTCCTGGAACCGGATTCTTCACTTTGAATACTAATGTTTTGAATACCAGCGTCGAGTCGCAGTTGTCATCTACAATTAGTTCAGCGGGTGCGGGTGCATCTGACACAGAAAGCGCAGGTAAAATCGAGGTATTAGAGATCTGTTGTGCACCATGAGTGGACCTATAAGTTAGGCTTGCCTTTAACACGCTATACTTTATCTTGTTTTACTTGGAGAAGGTTGTTCAATAGTAAGTTCTGGTTTGTGGCAACCGTGCTTGACTGACTTACGTATTACTGCTGTATGTCTCTAGCTCTTTGTGGTTAAAAATTACTGGAAAAATATAGTCGGTCATTCTACTTTGAAGTGGATTGTGTGCAACGTTTTGTATGTATCAGCAGTAACAAAATGAAGTTAAAATACGAAGAGCTCTAAAAATACTTTCATTTGTTTTGAAAGATTTTCAGTATTTTGATCACAGTCAACTTTACGATCACATCAACTTTACGTAAAACACAAAAATATGAGCTCATCACCTTTCAGAGAACATAAAACTCTGAAGATCCTATTGGTTAAGAAAGTATGAGTGGAAGGATTTCAGTAATTATCCTTCGTCAGTTAAAACAGCTGATCCAAATGAAGGTCTTTTCAAAAGCTGACGAGGGAACCTCCCGAGGTGATAAATCACTTTTTGATCGACATCTAGCGGGTTATAGGTTATCGACCATGCTGATTACGAATATGACCATGGGACTTCGCCATAGCTCTTCAAAGATCCAGTCTTCTGAAAAACCAGTTTTGCGGAACCCAAAAAAATAATCCAAGCCTTTCTTAATAATGCATGATTATAGCCCTCAAATTTCTGATTAACATGAAACATCCCCCAGCTGTACACGACCTTTCTTTGCAAAGTTATAGAATTTATAAGAAGAGCCCTAAATTAATTTTTTCCTTCTTATTTCTGTAGCTCTGAGCTGACAATGAACAATTTAGAGCACTTCTTATAAATTCTATAACTTTGCAAAGAAAGGTCGTGTAGAGCTGAGAGATGTTTCACTTTAATCAGAAATTTGAGGACTATAATCATGCATTATTAAGAAAGGCTTGGATTATTTTTTGAGGTTTCTGCAAAACTGGTTTTCCAGAAGACTGGATCTTCGAAGAGCTATGGCGAAGTCCCATGGTCATATTCGTAATCAGCATGGTCGATAACCTGTAACCCACTAGATGTCGATCAAAAAGCGAATTATCACCTAGGAAGGTTCCCTCGGGAGTGAGCGCAAGGGAGAAACGAGGACGGTGATTCGTAGAAAGAGAAAGTTGACTTTTCCCTGACTGTCGAAATAATAACACAAAATTTCTGTATCCCATCTGTTGCCTTGGTGACGTCAGACATTTCAGTGCATATACAAGACGAACCATGAGAAGCCATAGTATCAACTAGCTCGCTGTAAAACCGGCATCTCTGGTAACTTTGACATTAAGACACATTATTTTCAAATAAGTATTTTTTTTTGAAATAGTTATGAGTAAGTCATCTGTTTGCCATCGTAGTCAGCTCCATACTACACTATAACCTCTACGTGTCAGATCAAAGAGTAATCTATTCTGAAATAGTCAGACACTTTCACTCAGTTGTTGGGCCACTAGTGTTGTATATGAATGGTATCTCTTTATGTGTAGGATCCACCATTGAAACTTCAACCGTAATTTCAAGTACTACGTGTAACTACTGTGCCGGATCGTCGTCTTGCATAGATTTCAACACTGATATGAGACACTGTGGGGACTGCACAACAAAATGCAATACGAAATATAAAACGTGCATCTCCGGTACATGTGAGGGCTATGCAAATGCATCGATTCGCTTGTCATGGGATATAGCCGGTGATGGTGATCTCCTTGTGACAACTCCAAATAATGTAACAATATGGAGAAACAATAGTGGACCGAGTAATATGACCGATTTTGGTCAGTGGATCTACGTTAATGCAAAAAGGGAAACTGTTGTTTTCAACACCACCACATATTATCGTCCATCAAATGGTACATATTATATCTGTTTTCAAACGTCTAATTTCTCAATGTATAATTCGACAACGTTAAAACGAAGTGTCACTGCTACGGTTCTAGTGCAATCCCCGTTTCAAGCAGCTCAAACGAATACAAAACTATTCACAAATACAACAACATTATTTGAAGACTGCAATGAATCATACGATTCTTTTTTGTACAAATTTACCGGTTATTTTTATTGAGTTTTTGCTAACGTTATGTTTACCATACGATAATTTCTTCTCGGCATTTTGTTCTCTCATCGATCAGCAAACCAAACTCAGCATTTTGACTTAAATTTTCCTGCAACCAATATATATCGCTATGGTTAACAGGGTTTCCAAGAATTTGAAATATTCTTCTTGCAAACAAAAATTAAATTTTCAAACCTCTGGATATTTTAGAATAACCAAAAATCATACTAGAATGTTGACATTTTTATTCAACTTCATTCAGAAACATCTCATCTCAAAGAACAAACCGACAATAAATTCAACTTGTTTCAGATTTCCCGACGACTTCCTAGAAGGAAGCAAAAATATAAGAAATTATATAAATAATTATCATGATTAGCTAGTCAGGTAACCTACAGTGCTATGACATTGAGAACACAAAGGATGTTTGTTCCTGAATACTTGAGAAATGTTTTGTCAGCACTAAAACCATTTATCTTTGTTGCTTTTTTTTACTGCAATAACTGCAACGCAATTTTCGTTTGAATTCATTTTTGTTTCGAAATGCATAGTTTTGCTTTTATTGTGATTAAGTGCCAGAAATAACTCAGAAAAACGCAATTTTTAGATTATTCCAAGGAAAAAGCTTCCATGAAAAATTCAAGAAAACTATTTTCGAAAAATACTTTTTATTCTAAAAGTTATTGAAATATACATCGTTCGGCTCAGATTTCAATCCTGGTTCCAGATATCATCTTGTTTTCGTTGCAAACGTACGTCTTCACTGTGAAAAGAGAGACGATCGATAAAGGTGTTTTCCAGCCTCAAAAATTGATCACTAAAATCACGGAAGTTCGCTTTTTAAATTAAATTTTTAACAACAGTACTTTTGAACTTAAAAATCGCGTTTTAAGAATTTCGTGAATTTCCTCGGTCATCGGTATAGATTTTGATGATGAACAGAGGGAAACCAAGGGTCTAGAACTCCATAAAATCATATGCTCTTTCATTCTAGATACCTTTCAAGAAGATCTGAAATTGGACCGATTCTCGTTCTTATTGCACCTCGTCCTTTGGTTCAAGGCTTTCTTGAGGGTACTTTTTGCAACAAAAATGAAGTCTAACTCAAATTCCTCGATCAGACTTCGTCTAATAACGATGAAAATGTTTCTGTGGATAAATTTCGATGTGCTCTATCGAACCACAAGAGATTCAGGCTTTTGTCTGGAACAAACACGGCTGTATGTTAGCAGCAAACTGCGGAAAAACACCAAAAACGAAGTATTTTTAAGTTTTGATCCTGTTTCACAACATTTTTCGGTTTTATCTTAGTACCATCGCTTAGAGCTTGAAAAATTACATACCATGTACAATTCTTGTCTTGCTTCACGATTCCTTTGGGTCAACGTGGGATAATACCGCCAAAAAACACCATTTTCTGCATTTTTCATCTATTTTTGCGAAAGTTTTAGATTGTGTAATTTTATAATTTCATATTCGGTTGTCCGATTCACTACAGATTTTATTTTTTCAGTTCTGTGTGGCCCAGAAGGCCACCAAATACTCGTTTTGGCGAAAAGTAGGGATGCACCGAGACGGGGTATTCGATACCCGAAACTTTAGTCTCGAGTAGTCTCGAGTCTCGAAAGTTTCGGTCTCGAGTAGTCTCGAGTCTCGAAAGTTTCGGTCTCGAATAGTCTCGAGTCTCGAAAGTTTCAGTCTCGAATAGTCTCGAGTCTCGAAAGTTTCGGTCTCGAATAGTCTCGATATAAAAGTGCCGGTAGCAAATTTCCGAGACTTTTTCTAGACTATTTTTTTTGTTCTGTATAGAAGATTTCTTTGGTGAAATATGTACTGGACGTAATGTCGAAAGACATTTTTTTGTAGTAGATATTTTGTATGGTAACTTTTTTGA